AGTGAAATGCTGGGTATAGAATAAATATATAGAATAGGAATTATTGTGGTAGTAATAGCTCACCCCTGGGAAGCAGATGAACTTATGATGGGAGAAAATATAAAGAGGAAAGAGAAGAAAAAAGAGGTCTGAGGACTCAAACTTGGACAATGCCTGCAGCAATCAACCACTTCACACTTGATTCCATCTTATCTTGCTTTACTCAGTAACTACTTCATCCACATTATTTTTATCAAACTAATCATTTATTGAATGTTTACAGTGCACCAGGCATTTTATAATGCACACTTCTTACCCACTTTAGTCTTCATACAAATCGATGAGGTAAATATTATTATTCCTGTCTTATAGTTGAAGGAAAGGAATTTCAGAGGGTTTAAAAATCTGCCCAAGACTCCACGGTAAATGAGTGGCTTGGCGGGTGCTTTTCTCACTACCAAACATGATGTTGCCCACTCTAAAGGCAAAGTCAGGGAATTTTCCTCGTACATTTTTAAAGACATGAAACCAACGATCAGAATCTGAGTTAGTACAACCCCGGCCCAAATTTTAGAAGAAACTGACATTGCAGTGACTCATTCAGTCTTACATTGGGTAATTTATGGGGAATGCTTGATAGAAAGAAAAAAAAATCTGGAACTCTCAAGATGGGAACCAGACCCGTTACTGCCCCTGAACAACTGAGATTAGTTCACAATTTAAAGGTCTCAGGAGGCAATTGCTGAGTTGGTGTGAAAGGGAGATCAAAAAAACTCTCTTGGTGGTCCTCCTCCCCTCAAGACGTCACCTGGCCCCGTGGAGCCCAGCAGCTCACCTCCTGGAACTTGCGCTCTCCTCTCCGAAATCTCCCTTCTTCCAATTTCCTCAAGGAACCTCTTCCGTCACGGAACCCCCATGTCCTCACAAAACTGCCAAGTCCCAAGGAAGTCCCCAACTTCCAGGGAACCCTCAACTCACAGAACCCCCATTCTCATAGACTCCCATCTCCTTCTGGAATCCCCTTTCCATCTCCTCACAGAACCGCAATTCTTCGGTGAAATCCCTCACAGAGCCCCCAACCCCTCCAGGGAGCCCCTGCTCCTCTCCTCACTGGCGCCCCCCAGGCTCGCTCGGGCCCAGCCTCACCCCGCGGCTCCTCCACAGAGCGCCGGTGCAGCTCGCGGTAGCGCTGCAGCGAGGGGACGTGCGCCGAACGGCTGACTTCGGGCGGCGGAGACCAACTCCGTGTCCGGCCCCCGGCTCCAGCTTCCTCCCGGCCACCGCTCCCACTGCTGTTCCGACCCCGTTCTTCGGGAAGTCCCATCACGTCAAGTTCCGAGCACCGGGGTTGCCTCTGCGGTGGCCGCGGGTGGCCGGGCGGGGAAAACAAGCGGATCCTAGAGGCGGAGCCTTAGGCGAGGGGCGTGGCCTGTTGCTGGGGGCGTGGCTTTACTGTCTGTAATGGGCGGGGCCGTGTATTATGGGCGGGGCCACGTTAGCAAAGACAGCGCTAGGGAAAAATCGAAGGATAGGGGCGTAGCTGTCTTGCCGGAAGAGGTGGGAACATAAAGTGAAAGCAGAAGGGGCGGGACTGGGCATGACAGGAGAGAGGGTGGAACCATGGAATGACAGGGAAGGGGTGGGTCCAAGCGTGACAGGAGAGGAGGTGGTCCCATGGAGTGATCCAGAGTAGCTGCGCTGAATATGACTGGAGAGGAGGCAGGGCCGTGGAGTGACCAAGTTGGGGTCTTGGAGTGACAGCTAAGGGGTTGGGTTTAGGCAGGGCTCCAGCGGGAGAGGGCTGGGCTAATGAGAGAAGTTGGATCAAGTCCATCTTGGAGTCACTCTGTAGTTTGATTGCACAATCCTGATTGTCACTCCACCGAATCGTAAAGCCAGGTGAAGTGCAGTCTCTTCTAGGTGACACACTTTCCCCCAAGTTTCACACCCTCAGAAATAATCCCACTCTGTCCACCGGAAAAACTCCATAACTTTGATGTCATGGCGCTCAGGACAGGACACCCCTCTCTGCTAACCCTAGGGGCCAGTTCTGATTTTCTCCCACCTCTGAGGACATATTTTCATTTTCCTTGCCTCCATTAATCTTCACCCAGTACAAGATGCATTAAGTGAAGGTATAAGACTTATTAAATGAAGACCGAAGAGGAAACTTTGGTCTTTGCTAAAAAACCCACCTGCTCATTGCACAAATTGTAAACTCAGGAAAGGGAAGTAACTTTTACAAGCTCGTGGCAAAAAGAATCTAATTAGGGCCAAGCCTGTGGTCACTGATTCAGGTCTGTTTTTATTCCCTCCTGTTGAAGCTAAGGCTTGTGAAATTCCTGTTTATGCAATAGGAGAAGTAATTCAACTATTCTTCTTTGCTTCCCAATCTCTTTATTTCACCAAGGGACACCTCCCACCTGCCACAACTTGAGCTCAGTTACCCCTGGTTGCCTTCTATTCTCTTCATACAGAAAGAAGAAGCCAGGCAGGACCCTCAAATTTCTACCTGTGCTCACCACCAAGAAGGGCCTTCTGTACAGTTCAGACACTGGCTGTCAATGCAAGGAAGATACTTAAATATTTAACTCCAAGAATGATTCTGAGGTCTAAAGCAGGCAGTCCTTGCCTTCTGGTGCCTACACAGAACTTGTGACCCTCTCTAGCCTCCCTCACCCCTCCTCCTCTATTCTTTGCTCAGCTGACCATGAGTCCAGAATACACTAAGCCAGAAAACAACTCCTAATGGTCACACATATGATCTGGAGCCTACCCAATCCTAAGGAGAGGGCCCAGTGAAAGCATACCAAGCTTGTAGAGTAGACATTAACCTCAACGAAAGGACAAATACTGAGGAGGCATAAACTGCATTAGAGTTTCACACACTCTGCTGAACATACAAAGACTCCCCTGAGGGCTGGGGATGTGGCTCAAGCGGTAGCGCGCTCGCCTGGCATGTGTATGGCCCAGGTTCGATCCTCAGCACCACATACAAAACAAAGATGTTGTGTCCACCGATAATGATAAAATAAATATTAAAATTCTCTCTCTCTCTCTCTCTCTCTCTCTCTCTCT